AACCCCCGAAAAAAAAAAATTAAAAAAAAAAAAAAAAAAAAAAAAAAAAAAAAAAAAAAAAAAAGACATCGATACCGAAAAGCTTTTGCAACATCTAAAGACTCCAAATTTCTAATTAGAATTAAACCGACTCAATGAAGAATGTCGAATCTTTGCTGCTTCAAGAAACATTTAAAAAGCCTCAAGCAAAATTAACATATTTCATATAATAAAAAAATAACATTTTAACATGTTAATATAACAATGCAACCACATCAGAAAACAACAAAGTAAATTTTCCTCGGCAGGCTAGCAATTAAGTTGCATATACCAATACAAAAACAATTAGCACTCCATTGAGTTGGAAATTCCACCAACGATAACAGTCAATGTAACTACAAAAAAATTGTAAAAGGAAAAAGGATCTTGTCTGATAAATACATAGACACGCTTCAAAAAGACGAAATACCAAAATTAAAATAAACGAGCAACACACCAGAAACAAAAATAAATGCACAAAACATCAGCAACTCTACTAAACAACTAATTTGATTATTACCAGCAAATTTTATGACGAAGAATTTATATTTTAAATTACCTATTGTTTAGGTCAAAAGAACGAATAAACAGCCTCAATGTTGGATTTCAAAAACCCATCCACATCACCAATTAAAACGAAAGAACCCTACGTACGACTACGAGCCTGTCAAAAACCAAGAAAAATTCAGACTACAAGAGCGAAGGACAATACGAATCAATTACAAGATTAAAGAATTAAATAGAAAAAGAAGGTAACGACGAATAAAATTCCAACGATTACTGTGGTTAAACAAAACACTCAAAATATGCATCGAGTAAACCCTAACTCTCGCAACAGCGATCAAGAGCATGTGAATTTCTTGACGACCTAGGCGCCTTCGGAAAGTGCACAAAGCATCGACCACTCTCCTCAATACAGAGAAAGAAAATCAAAAAACGGATTAATTATATTATTAGTTGTAACCTAAACGCATATAATTTCTAATCGCATACGCACGCTCAAATTACATAATGTCTACTTCAAAAAGAACGCTTACACCGCCGCATTGTTGGATATCAAAATCAATCCGCATCATCAATCAGACATGCAAGAAACTATGTAAGACTACGAGCCTGTCAAAACCAAGAACATTTCAGACTACGAAACAGAAGAACAGTATGAAACAGTCGCAAGATTAAAGAATTAAAGGACAATAACAAAAATTAAAATCCAAGATAACAGACCATTCGGTTACACCAAAGATTCAAAATATACATCGAGTAAACCCTAATTCTGGCAGCAAAGATCAAGAACTGGTGAATTTGGTGACGGCCTTGGTGCCTTCAGAGACGGCGTGCTTGGCGAGTTCGCCGGGGAGGACAAGGCGAACAGCGGTTTGGATCTCGCGGGAGGTTATTGTAGGTTTCTTGTTGTATCGAGCGAGTCTTGAAGATTCTTGAGCGAGTTTCTCAAAGATATCGTTGATGAAGCTGTTCATGATCCCCATGGCCTTGCTGGAGATCCCTATGTCAGGGTGCACCTGCTTTAGAACCTTAAAGATGTAGATCTTGTAAGTCTCAACGCTCTTCGCCTTCTTCTTCTTCTTCTTCTCGCCGGAAGTCGCGTCCCTAGGGATCTTTTTCTCGGCCTTGGTCTTCTCCGGCGGAGCCTTCTCGGCGGGCTTTTTCTCCGCCAGTTTCTTGTCGCCCTTGGCCATCGATTGGGGAAAGAGAACATGGTTTAAA